GGCATCAGTGAAACGCATTGGACACAGGTAGGACAACTGAGACTTGCTTCAGGAGAACTGCTGTTATACTCTGGTCATGAAGAGGAAAATGCTTCACATACACAAGGCGTTGCACTGGTGCTGTCCAAACATGCACAAAAGGCACTGATAAGATGGGAATCTCATGGACCCAGGATCATTAAAGCATCCTTCAAAACAAAGAAAGAGGACATTACAATGAACGTCATCCAGTGTTATGCACCTACCAATGACTACAATGATGACGTTAATGATCAATTCTACGAAAGGCTGCAGTCAATCGTCGAGAAATGTTCACCAAAGGATTTGAAGATTCTTATGGGAGACCTGAATGCCAAGGTTGGAATGGACAACACTGGATATGAAGACATCATGGGACGACATGGACTGGGAGAAAGAAACGAAAATGGTGAGAGATTTGCAAACCTATGTGCCTTCAACAAACTGGTCATCGGTGGCACAATATTCCCACACAAACGCATACACAAAGCTACATGGATTTCACCGGATCACACTACTCAAAACCAGATTGATCATATCTGTATCAACAACAATTTCAGAAGGACTATGGAGGATGTGAGAACCAGGAGAGGAGTTGATATAGCCTCAGATCACCATTTGCTAATCGCCAAAATGAAACTGAAACTAAAGAAGCACTGGACAACAGGCAGACAACATCGCACAAGTTTAATACGGCCTTTCTTCGGGATACTGTAAAGCTCAACGAATTCAAGATAGCCCTCACCAATAGGTTCCAGGCCTTTCAGGATCTACACAATGGAGAGGACGCAACATTGGAGAACAATTGGAAAGGGATTAAGGAGGCAATCACTTCAACATGTCACGAAGTTCTGGGTCGCAAGAAATGGATCTCTGTTGATACTCTTGCAAAAATTGAAGAAAGGAGGAACAAGAAGGCAGTAATCAATGCTAGCCGAACAAGAGCAGAGAAAGTTAATGCACAAGCTGCATACACAGAAGCAAACAGGGAAGTGAAGAAGAGCATCAGAGCTGATAAACGAAAATATGTGGAAGATCTAGCGGAAAAGGCTGCAAGAGACGGAAACTTGAGACAACTGTACGAAACTACAAAGAAGCTCGCCGGAAACTATCGTAAACCGGAACGACCAGTGAAAAGCAAGGAAGGCAAAGTAATCAGCAACACTGAAGAACAGCGAAATAGGTGGGTAGAGCACTTTCAGGAACTCTTGAATCGACCAGCTCCACTGAACATACTCAACTTCAAAGCAGCATCCACGGACCTCCGAACTGATGTTGGCTCACCTACAATTCAGGAGATTAGTATGGCCATCAGACAAATCTAGAGCGGCAAATCAGCAGGACCAGATAACATTCCAGCAGAGGCAATGAAAGCAGATGTAGAAGCAACTGCAAAAATATTTCACATCCTCTTCAAGAAGATTTGGGATGAGGAACAAGTACCATCAGATTGGAAAGAAGGATACCTGATCGAAATACCAAAGAAAGGCGATCTCAACAAGTGTGAGAACTACAGAGGCATCACTCTTCTTTCAAAACCAGGCAAAGTCTTCAACAGGGTATTGTTAAACAGAATGAAGGACTTTGTAGACGCCCAACTTCGAGATCAACAGGCCGGATTTCGTAAGGATCGATCGTGTAGTAACCAAATTGCTATATGACGGATCATTGTGGAACAATCAATTTGAATGGAACTCACCACTCTACATCAACTTCATCGACTACGAGAAAGCATTCGATAGCGTGGATAGGAAAACACTGTGGAGGCTTCTTCGACACTACGGTGTGCCTGAGAAAATAGTTAACATCATACGGAATTATTATGATGGATTCAACTACACGAAGGACAGCTAACAGACTCCTTTGAGGTGAAGACCGGTGTGAGGCAAGGTTGCTTACTCTCACCCTTTCTCTTTCTCCTGGTGATCGACTGGATTATGAAGACGTCGACGTCTGGAGGGAAGCACGGTATCAACTGGACAGTTAGGACGCAGCTGGACGATCTGGACTTCGCAGATGATCTGGCTCTTCTATCGCACACTCAACAACAAATGCAAGAGAAGACGACCGGTGTAGCAGCAGCCTTTGCAGCAGTAGGTCTCAACATACATAAAGGAAAGAGCAAAATTCTCCGATGCAACACAACATGCACCAACCAAATCACTCTTGATGGAGATGCTTTCGAGGACGTTAACAAAATTACATATCTTGGCAGCATCATCGACAACCAAGGTGGATCCGATGCAGATGTGAGGGCGCGGATCGGCAAAGCAGGGGCTGCATTTCTACAATTGAAAAATATCTGGAACTCCAAATAAATATCAATCAAAACCAAAATCAGGATTTTCAATACAAATGTCAAGACAGTTCTACTGTATGCGGCGGAAACTTGGAGAACTGCCAAAGCCATCATCCAGAAGATACAAGTATTTATGAACATTTGTCTTCGCAAAATACTTCGTATTCGTTGGCCAGACACGATCAGCAACAACGTACTGTGAGAGAGAACAAACCAGATTGCAGTGGAGGAGGAAATCAGGAAGAAGCGGTGGAAGTGGATAGGACAAACAGTGTGAAAGGCACCCAACTGTGTCACAGGACAAGCCCTCACATGGAACCCTCAAGGAAAAAGGAAAAAGGAAAGACCAAGGAACACATTACGCCGAGAAATAGAGAAAGATATGAGAGGAATGAACAAAAATTGGACAGAACTGGAGAAGGAAGCCCAGGACAGAGTTGGTTGGAGAAAACTGGTGGGCGGCCTATGCTCCATTGTGGGTAACAGGCGTAAGTAAGTAAGTAATTAAGAGACTTCACTGTGAAAACTTGTTGCATTCCTTTATACTGTATCAGACCTGCTACTCCTTCGTAAACCATAAGTCACCGAACAGAATTCTCCAAATAATTCTGGCATGGGCAGCCGAAATTAATTATCATGTGTTATACTGTTTTTCTTCACAGTCTAGGAAATAAGAATCCGGTGGTTTTGATTATATATATGTACAATAACAAAGGTAAATGTTTTGTTGTTAGCGATGTAGCATTTGAGACACTGGGAAGCTGAACAAACTGTCTCAATAAAAGGACAAATAATATATGACATCTGTGAGCTGGAAAGAAAAAATATTCGATTATATACATTATCTAGACCTAATTCAAGCTACTGTAGTGTTTGTTTGAACTATTTTTATGTTCATCGTGGCACCAGAGGAATAAATTCCGGAAATGAGATTGTACTGCAGAAAAGACTATTATGGATCGTTTTACTCTCTATATGTGATGCTTTTAATGACTTTGGTGCTTGATAACCGGTTTTAAAGACACATTGAGACTTATTTCAGCAAATGAGATCGAATTGCTTTTTTCAGCAGAGCGAACCTGATGGCATCTAAAAGCTGCCAAATGTTGTTAATACGGAATCAAAATTGTACTATAGATAGAGTGGACTATGTTGTATCCGTCATATATGCCAAAATCAATATAATGGTGACTCACTTTTCCAAATCGTTACTTATATCAACTCCTATGACTAGTCAACCAGTCTCTATTCGAAAACGACGTGATGAAAGATTGGAGTTGTTTGGGGATTCTTCAAAGTGTATTAAATAGCATCTTGATTACGATAAGTGTTTGGTATCTCCGAGATCTGATAAAAAAGCTTACCTACTAACCATTTCCCTATCTATCATCTAGAAATTAAACATAATCTGTTATTATTATGTGAAAGGTAAAGTCTGCCTCGATTTTACATTTATGACTTTTTACTATAATATTTATACATTCATCATTTGTAGAGAGAAAAATAATCAATTGAAATTCTCTCATAAACGTAAGTTTTCAGCAACCTGATATTAAACTGGATGAAGTGCAAAATCAATAATGAAATGATTTACCTCTTTTTGAATACAAGTACCATAATCGTACGATACTCAGTTTTAATTTAGGAAAAATTCTTACTAGTATTGTGGTGTGAGCTACTTATAAGTAGTATATGACGTGAGTGTCAACGTAATGTCTGGCAGCAGAAGATGGGGGAAGATCAAGAAAGGAAGAGTTGGAAAACAATGGAATTTGTATGAAACGCATGAATAGTGACAATGGATTGATCTTTTGCAACAGAAACAGTCCAGTTCGATATGATGGACTGATATCTTGCAAATTAACGATTTACAATATGGTGTTCCGATTTTACTGAGTAACTCTACAATTTTCGTTAAATGCAATCCGCTTGCCCCACCTGCGTTCTCGTTCACTACAGTACGGTTTAACTGTGGATAAAGAAATATTCACCTATCTGGTTAATAGTTTGTAGTTGATAATAACGACTCAAAAGCTTAGGTCATTTTTATGTATATATTGAAGAAAATTTGCTTGAATATTTGGGCTGCCTGTTTCCTGTTTTCTTCAACAAGTTACTTCTTTCTGTGTGTTTTAACTCTTCACTCATGTCTATTATTCGTATAATCTATTCAGGCGCGTCTATAGAAAGTTAACGACTCATCGCTTCACTAAGTACAAAAAATTACAATGTGAGACATAGAGGTCGCCGGCAACATGAATTGAAAAGGTGACTCATCAACTGAATAATGTCGCTAAAATATGGTAAAACTAGATAAACAGTCCATAAACTAATTATTTCCCAAATTATTTCATTTGCATAGGATTGTCAAGTTTTTGGAATCATGATTTTGTGCGTCAGTGGACAATTAACTGTATGATTTATATTACGCTAAAATCGATGACGACAACCGATGACTAATCACTCCCATAAAAAAGTCACACAACTAGATAAAACGACTGTCTGACAATCTTTAATTCTGAGTAATTGTTCAACCGTGGTAACTCCAATACGAAGATTAACTTCAATGTACACAGAAATCCTTAGAAAACCATTCTATCTAATATTTGCACCATGCAAACGAGTGATAAAGAAACACAACTCAAACTGCAACAAGTGCTAGTTTTTTTTTGATTGTATGTAAGCAATCAAAGTGAAACAATATTATCCCATAAATGAAGTGGGCATATTCAAGGGATTTCTTATTAACTATGTTGTTACAATCAAACTAGTTTTTCTATTGTCAACTCCCTTCCCCTGACAAGAAAAAAAGCATTGAATTAAATTGAATAAATGATACTATTTGTACATGTAGAGAATCTGTTTCATCATTCACTTGAAATTCTGATATTTCGTACAAACAATTGTAAGAACAAAAAAAAATGAATTTAGGTATTTGTTTGCTCTTATGACTGGTTGATAACATGGGTTAACTGAAAGGTAAACAGTGATTCAGTAAAAATAAATAAAAAATCGTTTAAGAGATAATTAAAGAGATGGCGAAAAAAGGGATCAAGCTGATCTTGTTCGTATGATCTGTTCCAATTTCTAGACATAGCACTGGAAACAAAATACGTCATGAGCAATGTTAAGCATAAACCATATTATCGACATCATTCACACTCCAACTAATTTGTTTATATTTAATCAAATTGCAATTAGGATTAATAACACCTATTTCCTTCCCACTTGTCATTTTGTGATAAGAGCTATCATAGTTACTGTGACAACCACGATCAATAGTATTTTCTGATTGTATTGCACCTAATGAATAACGATCTCTAGTCATGATGCAATTTCTTTTACTACACAATGTTTTTTGTTTTGTGGTTGATTTGGTTAGAAAATTTGTGTTTCCCAAACGACAACCATCATTATGAGCTTCTTGTCGTTTTAACACTTTTTCCCGCCTCATTTGATCATGGTAAAATGCAGCGAAATTATTAACAATAATTGGAATTGGTAGACCGACAACAAGTACACCACATATGCAACATATTGATCCAATCACTTTACCTAGTACTGTTTTTGGTGTAATATCACCATAACCAACTGTTGTCATTGTGATGATAGCCCACCAAAATGTAGCCGGTATGCTTTGGAACTCATTCTTATTATCATCTTTTTCAGCAAAATAAGCTAAACTTGAAAATAATAGAACAACAAGTATGACAAATAACATTAATAAACCTAATTCCTTATAGGATTGCTTTAATGTATATCCAAGTGCTTGAAGACCTTGTGAATGACGTGCTAATTTAAATACACGTAATATACGTAGAATACGAAACATTTGTACAATTTTACGCATAGATACAAGTGAGTCTAATGGTGAATGAAGCCATACTTCGAAAATTACAGAAAAATAATAAGGTAATATTGCAATCACATCGATAAGATTCATAGGACTTTTAATAAAAGTACATTTATTTGGTGCAACTAATAAGCGTAATGCGTATTCAAATGTAAACCATATTGTACAAATTGATTCTAAAGCTTCTAAACGTTCATTTACATGGTCTGTAATACTAATGGTATTATTATCAAAGATAATTCCAGATGAATTTCCACGTAGTTCAGGTATAGTACTTAAATTCAATCCAATTATTGATAATATGATAAAAAATATTGAAATTACAGCGAATATCTGTGTAAAGAAAATACGAATAAAGAAAAATATATAAATAATGGAAAGACATTAAAAAAATTCACATTTACGAAACTAGTGATAAAAACTAGTAACTATTTAAATCGATTAATTTATTTATACAAATCCACCTGGAGCCACACTAGGTCTAAGGCTGGTCCCTAGCACGAACAAAGGAGGAGGGTTGAGCATGGGGTTAGCTACACTATCCCGTAGAAAAACAACTCGCTATAAAACGCTAACCAGAAAAAATAATTCAAACCAATTTAACTCTGACTTGTCAGTTGGAAGGTCTCCAATCAGAAGCGTTATGAAGTCCCATGATGAAAGCCGAGTTCCTTCACGAGTCACGAGGTCGATACCCCTTCTCATAACCAGAGAAACCATTCTCTTAGGTACATGGAATGTTCGAACAATGTGGGAAACCAGAAGACTGTTCCAAATTGCTTCAGAGATGAAAAAAGCTTGGAATCGGTGAAACACATTGAACGCAGGTTGGACAACTGAGACCAGCTTCAGGAGAGCTTCTGTTATATTCCGGTCATCAGCAAGAAAATACTACAGATACACAAGGAGTTGCACTGATTTTGTCCAAACAAGCACAAACGGCACTGATAGGATGAGAATCTCATTGACCCAGGATCATCCAGGCATCCTTCAAAACAAAGAAAAAGGGTATTGTCATGAAAGTCATCCAATGCTATGCACCTACCAACGAGTACAATGAGGACATTAAAGATCAACTCTACAAGAGGCTGCTGTCAATCGTCGAGAGATGCTCATCAAAGGACATTAATATTCAGATGACAGGCCTATAGTCGAAGGTCGGAATGGATAACACTGGTGTGTAGGCATCATGTGACGACATGGGAAGGCGACACTATATTGCCACAGAAATGGCAAACACAAATCTACGTCGGTTTCAACGAGTAATACTACACAGAACTAAGTCAACCGCATCTACATCAATAGAAAATTATGAAGTATAGTGGAGGATGAAGGAACCAAGAGAAGAACTGATAGAGCTTCAGATCACAATTCGGTGACGGCCAAGATGAAGCTGAGGATAAAGAAGCATTGAAAAACTCAGTTAACGGCATTACATGAGTTTATTACGTTTCTCCGACATGCTGGAGAGCACAGCGACTTCAAAACAGCCCTTATCAATAAGTTCCAAGCCTTTCACAATCGTCTTGTGTCTTGTGACGCACATGCGTGCTTTTCGCAATATGTAACCTATCCGCTTCCAGCGCTTCTCCCTCATTTTTTCTTCCACTGGAATCTGGTTTGTTCTAGACCACAGTAGGTTGTTGCTGGTGGTGTCTGGCCAACGGATCCGAAGTATTTTTCGTAGACAAATGTTAATAAACACCAAAATCTTCCAAGCTTCGGTAGTTTTCCAAGTTTCTATTCCATACCGTAGAGTTGTCTTGACATTTGTGTTGGAAACTGTGACTCCATCGAAACAAATCCGTATGATGTTGACTTACTTGTCAGACACACCGAAGTGTCGAATGATAGTCCACAGTGTTGTCCTGTCCACGCCACCAAGTGCTTTCTCGTAGTCGATGAGGTTGATGTAGGGTAGTGAGTTCCATTCAATTGATTGTTCCACAATGATCCATAATGTTGATCTTTAATGTCCTCATTGTACTCGTTGGTAGGTGCATAGCATTGGATGACTTTCATGACAATACCCTTTTTCTTTGTTTTGAAGGATGCCTGGATGATCCTGGGTCAATGAGATTCTCATCCTATCAGTGCCGTTTGTGCTTGTTTGGACAAAATCAGTGCAACTCCTTGTGTATGTGTAGTATTTTCTTGTTCATGACCGGAATATAACAGAAGCTCTCCTGAAGCTGGTCTCAGTTGTCCAACCTGCGTTCAATGTGTTTCACCGATTCCAAGCTTTTTTCATCTCTGAAGCAATTTGGAACAGTCTTCTGGTTTCCCACATTGTTCGAACATTCCATGTACCTAAGAGAATGGTTTCTCTGGTTATGAGAAGGGGTATCGACCTCGTGACTCGTGAAGGAACTCGGCTTTCATCATGGGACTTCATAACGCTTCTGATTGGAGACCTTCCAACTGACAAGTCAGAGTTAAATTGGTTTGAATTATTTTTTCTGGTTAGCGTTTTATAGCGAGTTGTTTTTCTACGGGATAGTGTAGCTAACCCCATGCTCAACCCTCATCCTTCATATGTTTCTAGCACAGTTAGGTGCCAGGTGAACTTATAGTTGATATTTTACATTTTCAAATACTCTTCCAGCACAATGTCCATCACGGGCGTGTGATATAAATAAGTCTCTATCCCTATCAAATTATTCGTTGTATATATTGTTTTATTGGATGATTGACGAGCTAGTAACAAGTGTTGATTGATTACTAGATTGGCTTTGATTATTATGCAGTAGGATTACACAGTCAATTATTTTTCTGATAAATATTTTGGGATTCAGACAAATGTTGTAATAGTGACCACCTGTCTCTCATCATAATTTTAAATACAAAGTATTGATGCGAAATTCAACTTTGTTTGGAAACCACGTACAGTTTCGAAAAAACATTATCCCATAATAAGCCTTCTATTTTTATTGGCTAACCGACATTGGAGACCATGAAAACGATCAAAAAGGATAGAACGTTAAAGTTTCGCGACTTATTTATACATAAAACCAAAATATACTTCAAAGTTTAAAAAGACAAGCCAATACAATATGGTAAAGAAAATCATTTATATATTTTTTTCACGTCTTTGTCTGGTCTATTTTGTTTATGTGACCTGATTCGTGTTAAAGGACAGTTCCAACGTACATTGATTTTGTTTGAGACAGAATATAATAAGTGTAAAATTAAAAATCAACCGTTTGCATGAGTCATAATTCTAGGAACACAATTAATAAGTCAAATATTTTTATTCCCATTGAAATTTACAAAAATGTTTGATACGAAAGTTAACATTTAGGATTGACAGACCAGTCTCTTCTGGCATATGTATATCTTTAGCGGATTGTTTTTAAATATAGACTTGTAGTAGTTATATGTATTACGTGTTATATTACGTGTGGATTGTATCTAGCAATGAAATTCAGGTTGTACCACATGCCTCAGTGTGAGTGCCAATACAGTGATGTACACTTGGTGAGTAGTAAATAGAATGAAACATTTATCCTGAATTCCATTACTAGTCTTCTGCCTGAACTTTAAACTAGGATTGAATCCCATTGACTAAGAATAGGGCAAACAAAGATAACCTCATTATATTTAAACAATACCAAATTATAATGATAACGAAACTAGAAAATTATACATAAGCATACTATCGAATAATATTAAATGAAATGGCAATAAAATTTGTAAGGAATCGAATAGCTATTTGTGCTAGATCAAGTATTTGGTATATATTTAGGCAATGTAATCTGTGACTGACTGGTGAACAAAGATAAGCATAACCTTATGCATAACGTATAATGGACTAATTTGGCATCGATAATAACTTCTCACTGTTTTTTTTTTATATGAATATTTGGTTCTTAATACAGAGGTCAGACAAGTGTAGTTACAGATACACAAACCACAATAAAATTAAAAGCTGTCTCTACTAGGAATTATATAAGTAGACCAAACTAATCACCTTCAGTACTCTTTGTGCCCATATCGCTTCATGGAATCAAGTTTTAATGATCAATATTTTCAGATAGCATTAAATTCGTACTACAAACTGTTTGTTGTTGATTATTGTAAAGAAAAGAGCTGAAGATATCTTCTAAAACGATGTCGAAAACTTTGTCATTAAACTACGGAACTTAATGAACTTAGCGTAACCCGAATAATATTATCAATGCAACATATTATGATGCACAAAAATATATTCAGAACTTTAACAGTTTTCCGCTTAATACATTCTTGCTTTTGCCGTTTATTGGCTATTTTCTTTCAGGAAATGCAAGTCGATAAGACCTTAGAAGATTAGTTTCAGTGGGATAACAAACACAAAAGAAGAATTTGAAATAAGTGATAACATGAACGATAGTTTCCAATGAGTGATTTGTAAATAAATCCCACTCTGACGCATGAAACTTTTTTTTATATTTTAGACATTTTCTTCTGAATAACTCCTGTATTAAGCTTTCTTTATCTGGTCTTAGAGTGTACTTATTACAAGTTTGCCATATATTTTGGTTGGAACATAAATAATACAATGATCGCAATCAAGTAATGGAACAAGTTTATGAATTACATCATTTAATTGTGCATCCGAACAAGTGGAAAAATCAACAATATTTTGATGACCTAGTGATGAAAGAAAACTACTATCACTTAGATTAAAATCATATCATGGAAAGTGAACCACTGAGGACAGTAACAGCGAATTAGGTGAGTTTGTCAAAAAAAAACAGGTAGTGCAAATGAGGTACAGCTCGGAATCACGTAAATCTTAGTAATTTAGATATAATTGTACTTATTCAAATGTTTCGGACATCATCTTAGGGTCAGACAGTCTATAAAGTTGTTTGAAGACTTAAAACATGCAAAATTGGATAGACATCAGTTCATATTTGCAAATGTAACTACATCAAGGCCACACTTTCTCTTATGCTTGATCTATCCTGAAGATAAGTACTGAAACCAAACAATCATATTGAACAATCATCATATAAATCATATAACCAGGATTCTTGAATTTTGATTACATCACAAATACGAGATATATTTAGACTTAATAGGAATTGAAGACATTTCACCTTATTAAAAAGTGATCGGCAGTTGGAGGTTAGTAATTCAGGAATCGATATCTGATTAACGTTTATTCTTTTCCATACATATTGCCGGCCATCGCGATGTCTCGGATTGTAATTTTTTGTACTTAGTGAAGCAATGAGTCGTAAACTTTCTATATACTCGCCTGAATAGATAATACGAATAATAGACATGAGTGAAGTGTTAAAACACACAGAAAGAAGTAACTTGTTAAAGAAAACAGGAAACAGGCAGCC